AAGTATATGTTTCAAAAATGAAATTTTTTTTTGGCTCGTATTTTGGGATGTTACAATGGATGCGTTCTTGTGGTTGTTCGGCGCAGATTCAAGGTGAGATTATTTGTGTCGGAGTGAGGGTCTTATCGATATGGTCCACTACTAGTATTAGTGATTTTTAATAAAATGTCTTTGTTTATTATATTATTATTTCTTTAAGGAAAATATAAGAACATTTTACATTGTCTTATCTAAAATCTTAGCAAATTTTGTTAGAAAAATAAGGTACGAAATCAACAGAATACAAATATTTTGCTTAATTGTGTAAAGTTACTCTTCTTGATTAATATTTCGTCTATTTACTACCCCAATATCACAAAATTCAATTTAAGAAATGCAATCAAATTCATTATCATTTTTCGCATAAGTCGAAAGTCTAGATACTGAGAGGTATGAGAATTGTTTAATTTTACTGGAGTCCAAAATATGATATATGACTTCTACGTATACCCACAAAGTAGATAAGAACAACAAAAATCAGTTTTTGGAAGTTATTAATGGCTATATGGAAGTTATAACCATTTTTGGAAGTAGTCCGTCGTGTTTGGGAGTCTTATTTGAAGTGGTCATTGATTTATTGGAGTTTGTGACCTGTAATATGGAGGGAATTAGGGGTGAGCGTGGTGCGGTTCGGTACGATTATTGGAAAAAGCATCACCACTAACCGCAAATGCGGTTAATCCATTTTCAAAACCGCTTGGTGCAGTTATTTTTGCGGTGCGGTTAGGCTGTTATTTTTTGCGGTGCGGTTTTTTTTTTGTGCTTCGGTTATTAACCGCATAGATTTGGTACAATTATTTTGTGTGATTTTTAACCGCACTTTAGAGTTCAAACAGTTTTAAGAGTTTAAACATATTAATTGTAATAATAAAAAACCATTAGGTATAAGACAATTAACTTAAATTACCAACTAATATGTTAAAAACATTAAATCACTAGTAATTAACAATAAATATCTTAAAATTGTCAAATTTCACCATTTTCCAAAGTTAAACATAAGAAAAAACCAACACTTTTGTCTTCTAGAATTTTATCATTCTTTCATCTATGAAACTTGTCTTATTTTTAATATTCAATATATTAATAATTAATAAAAAATTTGTATATAATATATGCAGTGCGGTGCGATTTTTTTGCGGTTTTTGAAAACTAATAACCGCACCGCACCACAAATTTTAGGTTTTTGAAAAACAAAAAACCTCACCGTCGGTTTTTATTGCGGTTGCGGTTAATCGGTTGCGGTTTATGCGGTTAATTTTAGTTGCGGTGCGGTTTTTGCTCACCCCTAGTTTAAATGTTTGGAAATGAATATTTATAAGCTTGACTTAAATAAAGGGGTTTCAATAAGTTACTTTTTACTTACATATTGATATATTTAAGAATTTTTTTATAGATTATTTCATTATTATACATACAAGCATAATTTGCCAAACACTAAAAACAATTTATTAGCTTATTACATTTACGTACTGGATAATTTAATCAAAATATTTTTTTGAAACATCGATTTGACATCAAATAAGCTAATAAACAATTTATTAAAAAACATGAGTTGTTTTAAATAAGTAATCCTAAACATAGAAGCATCGGCTACGGATTGGTGAACATTCTATGACTCGACATCCTTGACAATAACCTTGGAAATTGGAAAGTGCGGACTGTTGAAGCAAGGAAAGAGCCTCGTTAGTAGCTTCAGCTGCAGATTCAGTCTCTCAGTAGCAACAATTTGCCTTAGCAGAACTACCACTAGGGGCTCTGTCACTTGGAGCCCGCAAGAGGTACTGCCCCTTAACCCCTATATTTTATCGTTTCAGGTTTAATCTCGCTTTATATATAAGTATGCATTTCACGCCTTCTAACTTGTAATACCTCATAGTATTAGTTTCTATTAACAATTTATTTCCGTTATACCAAATGATTCAAGACACTAAAATTACCAAGAAGATTAAACGTCAAGTTGTTTAATAATATTCAGTTACTCAAATAGTTTTTGGTTGTGAAGGAGAAAAAGAGAAAAGGAAAACGAGGAGCAGAGGAAATCACGTGGCATAAGGTTGACTGAAGTTAAAGACAGCTGCAAAACCTCTAACAGTACAACCAGTTATCACATGCTCTTTTCACAACTAAAAAATGTAACCAAGATTCGCATCATCAACAAGTTTTTAAAACCCTGTTCAATGTACAAGGTTTTATGCACATGTTGTAGCTTGCAAGCTTTAATGAGATGAGAAAAATGTTGTTGGTATGTTGTATTTCGTATCTACATTACATAATCACATGATTGGTTTAATTACACAGTTGTTTAACTTCTGCATCTTTACTCATTAATAGTTATCATTGAGAGTGATGGTGGTTGATTATTAATAAACTTCTAATGGTTTTTTTAACCATCTATGACCACTTAATATACTAATAACCAAATTAATTATAGAAGTTTGAGGTAAAGTGTAGTTTTAAAACTGTTTCAAGTAGGTTATTTAGTGACTTGTTTATAATAACAGTTAATTAACATGATTATAAACTAGTAAAGGCACAAATGAATATTTTTGAACATTTTCAGCTTTTTCTTTACTTAATAAATAGAAAACATTTAAGATTTCGTCATCAAAATAACTACAATAATATTATTTTCTTCAAAGGCCTTCAATTTAATTTTGTAGTTTGATCGATCCATCAGTAGCATTACATGATTCTAGTAATAAATTTTAGACTAAATTACACTTTTGGTCCATGATTTACAGTTTTGGTCCCAAATAGTTTCTTTTGCAGTTTTGGTGCCTATTTCGAGTGTTGTAACAATTTTGGTCCCTGTAGTCACAAAAACTGCAGTTTTTGAACAAACTCATGGACCATATTGTTACAACAACTGGAAACAGTCATCAAATTGCAAGATGAAACTATTTAGGATCAAAATTTCAATTTTGAACAAACTCAGAGACCAAAAATATAAATTTAGTCGATAGTTTGTTACTTTATCTACAACAAACAAAACTACAAATAATCCGATTATTATAAAATAAAAACACGTACACATTCACGCTTACTATGTGTGAGTGTGATTATATATATAGTATATATAAGTAAACGTCTCAGCAGCAAGAAGATTGCTCCCCATCCAATATTTATTTCCCCCCCTTTTCTGCTTCCATTCTCATCCCCACTCACTCTTGCACTCCCCCAACCACTCCACTCTCCATTTCATTTTCATATACACAATTCTGCTTTCAATTTCACTCTAAAATCAAAATCATAACATGGAAACCTCATCGATTTCGAGAAGTATTTTATTGTTTCTGATTGCTGTTCAATTAAGTTGCCAATGCATCCAGTGCGTCGTGACGTATGATGGAAAAGCCATTGTTATCAATGGTCGAAGAAGAATATTGATATCTGGTTCGATACATTATCCCAGAAGTACTCCTGAGGTGTTGTAATCTCAAATTAGTCCTAATTTTGATTCGATTTCGTTGTGAATTTTGATGAGATTGGATTTGTTTGTGTTTTTGAATCGCAGATGTGGGAAGATATTATAATGAAGGCTAAAGAAGGAGGATTGGATGTAATCGAAACTTACGTGTTTTGGAACGTTCATGAGCCTGCTCCTGGCGTTGTAATCATAATTTCTCTCTTCCTTTCCTTTCCTTTCCTTTCCCTCTTAAAAAAAATTATACCAAATTCAAATTATTTGTAGTCCAATAGCATTGATTTGAAATTTTAAATGCATGTATTTTAGGAATCAAAATCGGATACATTGTTTTTTTTTTAGATTTTTCCAATTAAAATAATTCTTTTAAAGCTAGAATCCAATAAAAATACAATTTGAGTTTCTTTTTTAGTTAATACAACTATTTTAATAATAGTTTAAAGATACCAAGTTTGAATAATTAAAAACGCATATTTCGTGTATGAATGAAAGGGACCCATCCCCATCTAACTTACCCCATGCATTTTGTCACACAACTACCATACTTTCCAACTGTGATTATATCATGTGATATATCTGATATAACTTGGTGCTTAATTAGTCTTTAAATCTTCTACTTATATGTTTACCATTCAATGCTAATAAAGTTTATGCATTATTATAATTATGTTTGTCGTTTAAAAAGTAATTTCTATTTCAATAAAATTTGTAGCGTTTATAGTGATAATCTTCGAATGTGATTTACTTATGTATTCTTAGAAGATGATTGGTGACTGATACTTATTTACCGTTTGTGATGTGATTTATATTTTATTTTGTGATGAAAAAAAAACTCAGTATGATTTCGAAGGAAGATACGATTTAGTGAGGTTCTTAAAGACAGTGCAAAATGCAGGCCTTTATGCTCATCTCAGAATTGGGCCTTACGTTTGTGCTGAATGGAATTTTGGGTATTTTTCGATTATTTTTCTTTAACAAAATGATATTCATAATTCACAATAATTTTCTTTTATTTTTTCTTAACCAAAACAAGTCATAATTTGTGCAGAGGACTCCCCGTTTGGCTCAAGTATATTCCTGGTATTAGTTTCAGAACAGATAACGAGCCATTTAAGGTAAAATGGTAAATGAATATTTCATATCTTTTTATTATGTTATGATATATAAATATAAATTTTAATTTTATTTGAATATTTGCAGTGGGCAATGAAGAGGTTCACTGAGAAAATTGTGAAGTTGATGAAAAGTGAAAACTTGTATGAATCTCAAGGAGGCCCAATTATACTCTCACAGGTAAATTCGTAATTTTAAATCATTTTTGTTTTTAGTTATTTCTCGACTCCAATATACACACGTTGTATTATTTTATGTAGTAAAAGTTGTAGATTTGAGGTTTTGTGTTGTGGTACACTTTTTGCAACACAATGTACAAGCAAGTAAAGGAAAGCATGACCATGGATTTCCATTGATTATTTATTACATTACAGATTGAGAATGAGTACGGGTCTCTAGACACGAGATATGGTGCATTTGGACATAACTACATAACTTGGGCTGCAGAAATGGCCGTTGGATTACGTACAGGTGTCCCTTGGACCATGTGTAAACAAGATGATGCTCCAGATTCTATTGTAAGCTCCATCCGACCCGACCCGTATACACTAATCTTTTTTAAAAAAACTTAGTAATTTTAACTATTTGGATAGATAAACACATGTAATGGTTTCTATTGCGACGCTTTTACCCCCAACAAGCCTTACAAACCCAAAATTTGGACAGAGGCATGGACCGGATGGTATGTGGTAACTTACCCAATCATTCAATTAATCCGATTTTTATCTTTTATAAAATAAAACGTAAACATTTTGTTACAGGTTTACAGAATTTGGTGGGCCAAGTTATAGGAGGCCTGTTCAAGATATCGCATTTGCTGTTGCACGATTCATACAAAAGGGAGGATCGTTTGTCAATTACTACATGGTTTGTCTTTTCTTATAATTTCAGAGTTTGAGTTTGACCATTCTTTAAATTTGAAATCTTTTGTCTAAAATAAAATACCTGAATACAGTACCATGGAGGTACCAACTTTGGTCGCACTGCTGGAGGTCCTTTTGTCACTACTAGTTACGATTACGATGCTCCCATTGATGAATATGGTATTATATCAATACTTTTTTTTTTTTTGACTCTTGTCATTTTTGACCTTAAAAGAATGAATCTTTGTTTATAGGATTGATTAGACAACCGAAATACGGGCATTTGGCGGAGCTTCACAAAGCAATCAAGCAATGTGAACCGGGTTTGGTTGCTTCCGATCCTATTATCGTCTCTTTAGGACCCCGTCAACAGGTAGGTTCTTATCTTATCTCGAGCTTAAATTTTAGACAAAAATACAAGGGAATCGAAAAATTTTGTACTAAATTAATGATTTACCAATTTTCAGGCACATGTATTCTATTCGAAATTAGGACACTGTTCGGCTTTTCTCTCAAACTATGACACAAATAATGGTTCACGAGTAATGTTCAATCAGAGGCATCATAACCTACCAGCATGGTCCATCAGCATTCTTCCTGATTGTCTCAATATGGTCTTCAATACCGCCAAAGTAAGTATGTTGCTCATTTACTGTTTCACTAATCTTGGCATGTTTTTAACATGAAACCTCTCCTATATTCTTATCACTAGGCCACTTATGCAGGAGGACATCTTCATCTTGGCATGTTTTGTTTTTAATGTAATGTGTATGGAATTTTGCAGATTGGAGTTCAATCAACACGATTAACGATGTTACGTGCGAATTCCCAAATGTTTTCATGGGAGACATTTAGTGAAGATTTAACGACTAGTGATGTGGACTCTGCTTTCACTTCGTTTAGTCTTTTGGACCAAGTAAATGTCACTAGAGATTCTAGTGATTATCTCTGGTATACAACCACGTAAGACTTCTGTCCTTGTATTTTTTTTTTTTTAAATATAAATATTTTGCAAAGAGACAGTAGAGTGTTGATGACTTAAACTTGTGATCTTACACTTACAGTATCGATGTTGCGCCTACTGAGTCATTCTTGTATAACGGGGAGCATCCGAGACTGTTGGTAGAGTCAAGCGGGCATGCTCTTCATGTTTTCATAAACGGAAAACTTTCTGGTTCGATTTTTGGAACACGTGAAGATAGGAGAATCAGTTACAGGGAGAAGATCAGACTCCTTTCTGGAAGGAACAAAATCGCGTTGCTTAGTGTAGCCATGGGACTATCGGTTTGTTTCTTCTTGTGTCTCTTTATCGTGATAATTCCAAACTCTAACCTAACATGAATATTTTGTTTTTGAAATTTGAAAGAATATCGGGGGACATTATGAAAGTTGGGAGACTGGAGTCCTAGGTCCGGTGGTTCTATACGGTCTTGACCACGGGAAACTGGACTTGACCCATACAAAATGGTCTTACCGGATTGGTTTGAAGGGTGAAGCCATGAATGTTGTCTCCACCAACCGTATGCCTTCTTCGGTTGAATGGGTGCAGGGTTCACTCATCACCCAAAACAATCAACCGCTGACGTGGCACAAGGTACGATGAAAATGAACCCGAACCAGTGAGATGTGGTGACAACCCTACCCTAACACAATTAACTGTATTGAATGTTTTCAGGCTTACTTCAATGAGCCAGATGGCGAAGAGCCATTGGCCCTGGATATGAGTAGCATGGGAAAAGGTCAAGTGTGGGTCAATGGTCAAAGCATTGGACGATATTGGACCGCTTATGCCACTGGTAATTGCCAACAGTGTCATTATACCGGATCTTATCGCCCTTCTAAGTGTCAAGTTGGCTGTGGTCGACCAACCCAACGATGGTACATACATACTGATACAGACTCATAGATCATCATCTAATTCGCTTAAGTTTATGCTTTGATATCAAACTTCAATAACATAAGTTTAAAGATATTAAAGTTGGTATTGTATTTGCACTTGTGTAATGATGCAGGTACCATGTGCCTAGGTCATGGTTAAAACCAACAGGCAATCTGTTGGTGCTTTTTGAAGAACTTGGGGGCGATCCCACAGGGATTTTACTGGCAAAAAGATCAATGACAAGTGTGTGTGCTGACGTGGTCGAATATCACACCAACATAAAAAATTGGCGTAATGAAACCTATGGGCAAACACAAGTATTTCATAGTCCAAAGATTCATCTTCAGTGTAGTCCTGGCTTGTTAATCTCTTCCATTAAATTTGCAAGCTTTGGAACTCCTGTTGGAGCGTGTGGCTCATTCCAACAAGGAACTTGCCATGCTCCTACATCGTATGATGTCATTAGCAAGGTACATACTACTAATCTATTTTGTTGGCTTGTACTACATGCATAGATGGTTGTACTTGTACAGGGACTAATGGAATTTATTTATGTTCTACACTCTACAGAGGTGCATAGGAGAAGATAGATGTGCAGTTGCAATATCAAACACCAACTTTGGTCAAGACCCGTGTCCAAACACATTGAAACGCTTGTCAGTTGAAGCTGTTTGTACTCCAACTTCAACGGGTCAAGGTTAACATGGTATAACCTAAACGCCCAAAACAAATGGGTAAAAACTAATTAACACTAATTGTTATTTAGGCAAGGAAGGCGATTTAGACTAGTTTCAGTTTCTTTACAGGGTTTTTACTTTTTATTCAAATTAAATCATAGATTAGAAATTCTGATTCCAATAAGTTAGTAAAGATCATGGGGTTTTAAAGTTGTAAACATTCATTTCAAGTTTCTGTGCAGTTGAGTTGATGGTGATATATAATTGAATGAAAATTGTGTGATCAAAGCCAATTGTTATATACAAGAATCATGGATACCAAAAATGTAACAAATACTAAGATGTGTAAAAAGATCCACATGAAAGAGTCACTAGAGCTGTATGAAGCTTTTGAAACAGTAACTACCACAAAGAAACCATCCAACAACAAGAAATGCAAAACAAGACAAAAATGTTAGAAAACTTACGCCTCCAAAGGTGATTCCAATGAAGAAAAAGAACACGAATGGAAGACAAGATCGAACCATAGATTTTGTATCCACCCATTGACCTTTCAACAGGATCAATACAGCCAAGTTTACCACATTCCACCTGCCACCCTGGAACTCCAACCGATTTAGATTATTGGCCACGAATGAGTGACAGTTGCAAGTAAAGATGTTGTAGGTTTTATGTTGGTATTCTTGTGTGCTTTTTCTCAAGGCATCATCCCATCCACATGTGTTGTATTGGTTTCTTCCTGATTCCACTAGTCTATACTCTTCTTCACTTCTGAACATGGTTGATGTTGAAGGATTGGGAGTGATGGAGCACTGTTAGTTACAAGGGGATGATTGTAAATTAGTAACTAAGATGAATGAAATCATGAATGACTTGGAAAGAATCAAAGCTGAAGAATATGGTTTACCTTTTCTTTGTTGATTTGGACATATCGAGACACAGCTCCAAATGCAAAGTTATCTACACAGATGAAATTTGGACCTGCAAAATCAAGGATGACTCCATCCTCTTTGCCTATCCCAACATGACCAACAAAAGGAAGGAGCCATGAAATAACAGGGAGTGGTGTCCATACTATGCAGTATGGAAAGCGAGCTTTTGATGGATCAATCTGCTTGCTATGTGGAAGTGGAACATCCTGCTCGATCATCATGCTACTGCCATTATGATTATGTTCTGTATCTGATTCCATTTCCAAATCTGTATATGGCAGAAATCATACATTTCGTATCTCCCAAATCACCATTAACAGACCATGAAATCCCCATTTTAGCATGAATTAATTAGTTTATCAATTGAAATACTTAACTCGATGATTTCAACAATATTAATGAATAGCGGTTGATTTGAAATTATGTATCATGGATTCACAATATTTCATGCGCGAATTTAGCGCCAATTTGTTATTGTGAATCAACAAATCATGGAATTAAGCTTTTATCCCATTAATCAAACGCCTGGACTCAACCGTTGCAACAACACTGGCAGTTACAGAATAAATGATATCAACAATTACGAACAGATCTAAAAGACTACAAATGCAATTCGTTTTCGATATAGTTATTATTTTTTATACGACGAAGAAACAAAACCCTAACTTATATTCCCCTTATCATATCCAAATCCATGGTTTTGAGCATGAAGAAACAAAATGAATCATTTAGATATAGAGGATGAGAGTACCTGCGTAACGATCTGCAAGCGCTCGATCAACGGGTTATCGATTATGAAGAAGATCCAGCGACTGAGAGCCAAAACCAAAAGGCGGGTTTTCTTTTCTATAATCCTTCCTTCTCTTTGTTTTGGTTAAAAAGTCAATGCCATGTTTTGACCAACAGTTGGACATGTGACGTGCAGTCGTTTACCCTACCTTGTCGAGTTTGAAAACACAAATGAATCTAAATTACAAAACCTTATAAATGGTCCTTTTCGATATCTGAGATATAATCTTTAGAAAAAATTGCAAAAATGGTCCCTGTTGTATTTTTTCTTTTTGGGTTTTAGTCCAAACTCTGACAATTTTAGATTAGTAGTCTTTTTGAGAGCTAGTTTCGTTGCGGATTTGGACCATCGGTAAACTGAAATGACGTTAATACCTTTGGGGTATTTATTTTCTATTTTTCTTTCATTTTTCTTATATCTAATAATTATTTATTTATTTAAACAATAAAAAAATAAGAGGGCCCACCTCTCTCTCTCTCTCTCTCTCTCTCTCTCTCCCTCTCTCTCTCTCTCTCTCTCCAATGGCCCATTTGCAAATAAACCGATAATCCCCATCCACCATCAATATCCGGCAAGAACAAAATGGTATAATATAGGATCTGCGACATTTGTTTAGAGACTCAGTTGACCACCACAACTCCCCATCTCTCTGTCTAAAAGCCCCTTCGGCACCCCCAAGCATCTTCCATCGATGGAGATTTAGATCCGTCGTTTCCTTTTGAAATCGTCAACAGATTCACCTGCATCTCGGTGTCATACATCTTCTGGCGGTGTTTTGATGTTCATCTCCTACAACCCCACCGTCGCCGGAGAAGACAGTAGAGAAGGTGATGTCGACAGAGTCCCGTAATGCACACCTTCGAAAAAGGAAAATAGCAAGTCGCTCGTGCCAGTAAGGTGGGTTTGAACCAGATTGTATGGAAACTCTGATGGAGGTGTTCGTTTTGCAAATGCATGACCGACAAGAAGGTGGGTGGTGGTCACTAATTGGGGGAGGGTATCGTCTACCTCATCGCTTCAGATTCAGATCCCAGTTCCTTAACACATCAATGTGTACTTAGGTTTAGCAAATTCATCTGCTTTACACGCCTGTTTCACAATCGAGTTTGATACTAATTTAAATATATTGCATCGATTAAGTTAATGTTGGAAGTGATCGATCTGAAAATTGGGAAAATGATTAGAGTTTGGATCAAGTGCAAATACTTATAAAAGATTATCTGGGTTTTGGGACGGGTACACTGATACTAAGCATGGATATTTGGTTCTTGCAATTTCGAATGATCTTTTGAACACATATACTGAAAAAAAATGGTTTTGTGATTTTTTTGAGTTTTTGTTTAGGTTTGTAGTGATTATTGTTCAAATTGGAATTGGATGCAGCAAGGAATAGACGAGAGCGAGAATAGAAGTGTAACACCCCGTTTATTTAATAAATAAATAAACAAATTAATGAATGTATAATAGCCCTAAAATCAATAATTATATGGCAAGGTGTTGATTTCGAGGAGTTAACTGGCATAATTTAGAAGTTGGGGTTAAAAGTGTAAGTTCCGGGATTTATTTTGTAAAGATTGTTGGAAGACAGGGGGTGTGTGGTATCATTGGACCTAATATGAAAGGATTTATGGAAGCAAGGGCTAAAGGGTAAATTCTGGACCTAAGTTGAAAAGGTTTTGTTGAGGGAGGGGCTGCATAGTAATTACTTGGACTGAATTTGAAGGGTTTTTGGATGGCTGGGGCTAAAAGGTAAATTTCGGACTTAATTTGTAAGGGTTTTCTAAAGGAGGGGTTAAAAGGGTAAATTATGGGATCTATTTCGAAACTATTTCTGAAGGGAAGGATTGTTTATGTCATTATGGGATTAATTTTTGTGGTACACGGGTATATATGGTTTCATTGTCTAACCCTAACCTTAATAGAAGCAATCAGCCGTCA